ACCGTGCTGACCTCACCAAGTATGGCTTGAAATTAATTAGCTTCATTCATCCCAAATGGAAATGGGTAATAGAACAGCATCTCGGAGATGACCATCCCAACCCGTAGGCAGCATATTGAAAAGGCCCCCGTTTTCAAACCACGTAGATTAAAATTCCTTTCCAGCGTTTGCGGGGCCTGGGCAGGTGGCGTGTGTGCAAGTTCGTGGGCGACCGGGGCTGCTGGCCCCGTGTTGCGGTCTGTGTGCCCGTGTCCCCGTGTGTCCACAGTCACTGGGCCTGCCGTCTACGATGACGCCTGGAAAACTTGACCCACAAAAACCTGACGTTCGCGATGCACTTTTGGGGGGGCCTGTTACCATGAAATGGGCGTAGGAGCAAAAATCTGCTTTTTTTTTTTTTTGGTCCAGAAATTTAGAAACAGACAAGCTTCCTAAAGTAAAGAAATGCCCCATTCCTCTATTTTGGGGTTCATTCTGGAGGCTTTCTCTTTTTCTCTCAGTTTTTACCGTTTGATCATGTCTCAAAACGCCGAGCGGGACAATTAAAATCAGCGGCTAAGATGAGCCGACCTCCCCCTTTTGGCGACTGACCGGGGGAGGCCACATTTTTAAATATCGAAACTGCTTTCTTGTCCGGCCAACAAAAGCCTTGAGCGTGGTTCCTAGAGCCTCTCTGAGACGTTGTAAAGTTTATTTTGGTGAGCAGTCGTTTGGGGACCACGGATTACAAGAAGGGAGAAAACACACAAAACCCCCCCCTGACTTTTCAGNAGGAGAAAACACACACAAAACCCCCCCCTGACTTTTCAGGTTTTAATTTTTGAACTAATATAAAACATAGTCGGTTTATGAAAAGCTATCAGGACTGTTTTGCGNGGGAGAAAACACACAAAACCCCCCCCTGACTTTTCAGGTTTTAATTTTTGAACTAATATAAAACATAGTCGGTTTATGAAAAGCTATCAGGACTGTTTTGCGGATTTTATTTAGTGCATATTTCCTCAGGGGAAAAAAAAAAACATCCCAGAAGAACTTTGTTTAGTGAAACTAAGAAGTAAATATTCAAAGGGACATAACTACCAAGTTTTTTTACTTAACTGTGGGAGGGAATAAAAAAAAATGCCCCTTTAGGCGAGTTATCCTTTTAGGGCTCATTGATGTCTTAATTTCCGTAACATCGATTATTGCAGATTATTTGTCTTATAATTAAACTGGAGGCATGTTGCCCGAGTCTGCACACGCGGGGCCTAGAAGTTTCTCTGCGCTCACTTCTGCCCGATCGTCTCCTCCCGAGAGGCCGCGGGTCTCACGGGCATATGTCGCTTACACGCCCCAGATCGTCAATCACGGGCCGCGAACCTATCGTCTCGGCGTGAGAGATGCCACCTGAAATCCCCCCAACCCCTAGCATATAATTTGTGGAAATTAACTGGCTTAAAGTCTGGGCTCCCGACTTCTGGGGGATGAGACCCAAAAATGGAAACAGCTTAATATGATACAAATTTGTTTCTTAAAGTCACCGTTTCACTGGGCCGGGACTCAAAGGGGAGGCACTGGGGGATCTTGAGATGCTGACAGAAAGAAAGAAAAACGCTTTTTTGTTCATTTGGAATTTCCCGCCGATGCCCACCGTGTGAAATAAAGGCAAATAGTTACAAAAATAGCCCGAAAGGACATGTTACCAAAAGCCTATTTGCCTTATTTCCTCTTGAGGCAAAAATGTATATACATTGTAGACTTTTGCAACTTGCTCAGACACTAAGCAGCGAGCCTCAACTTTCATTTAAACTGTTTTGTATCCACTGAGGTGAAAATGGCAGGAAAACCATAAATACGAGGATTAAGGTTGCAGGGAATCCGAGTTCACTCAAACGACAGCCCCGACGTCGCGCTCAGGCGACCGGCCCCGGTTTCATTTGTTACCCACCTGAAACGATAAATCCTCTTAAGAGTCGAAGGAGGTTCCCCTGAAATGCAAACCAGGCTTCTCCCCAGAGCGAGGCCAGGCTCCCTCGGTTTAGGGTCAGCGGCAGTTGCGTGTTGGGTCCCTAATAAAACTTTCATCCCACTTGAGCTAATGACGGACGGGGGGCGGGGACCGGACGGCGTGCCTGGAGTGGCCCTTTGGCCTGAAATACCCCGAAGGACGGAAAGAACCGGACAGGAGGCGAATGTCCAAAGACGCCTGTGGCAAGATGACCCCCTAGGAAGCCCAGGGGGACACTGACAGTTAGTACATAACGAGAGAGAGAGAGGGAGAGAGAAACATCGATCTGTTGCTTCCCTCACTGCTGCATCACTGGCGGATCCTGTATGTGCCCTGACCTGGGATCGAACCCGCGACCTTGGCGCATTGGGGCGACGCTCCCGCCCACTGAGCCACCCGGCCAGGGCCTGCACGAGGCCCCGATGAAACAGCAGGTGGCATTTCTTGGGTGCTCACTGCAGCCAGGCAGTGTCCTAGGCTCGGCCATAGCAGACTCAGGCAGACGCTGTTATTTCCGCCTCGCGATGGGGGAGACTAGGCCCCGGGGAGGTTACGGGACCTGCCCAAGGTCACTGCGGCCGGGAGAGGGACCTGAGGCTCAGGGTGCCCTGCTCTGGAGTCTCTGCAGAACGCAGACAGGGTGCTGTCTGCCGAAAGCAAACTGCTACAGATGAGGAATGGGGGGAGGGGAGATAGGTCCCAATTTTTTAAAAAAATATATCTTTATTGATTTCAGAGAGGGGAAGGGAGAGGGAGAGAGAGAGAAACATCAGTGATGAGAGTCATTGATCGGCCGCCTCCTGCACGCCCCCGACTGGGGATGGGGCCCGCATCCCAGGCCTGTGCCCTGACTGCTAATCGAACCCCGATCACCTGGATCCTAGGTCAATGCTCAAACGCTGAGTCACGCCCGGCCAGGCTAAAAAAATTTTTTTTAACTGTTGAGAACAGCAGGTAGTAAGTGTACTGGGGAAAGCCAGAGGCGAGAAGGCTCCTTCTTGCCCAGTCGTCTTACCCCAGGCGTAGGGAGCTGATTTCCCAAACCTCCCGTAANCTTCAGACGAGAGGTCAGAAGGCCGCGCCAGGTGGGCCTCCCGGAGGCAACGGCCGAGGCGGAGCCAGTCCCCTTCGAGGAAAAGATGCCCTAACGATGTCTCTGGGGGAAGATGTAACGAGCGAGAGGCCCGAGAGGGAGACAGATCGGGGGCTCGGTCGGGGCCGTACAAGACCCACGGTAAAGGCTCTGTTTTCTTGCAACACGAAAGCCCGAACCAGAACTTGCC